CTGGCCTCCAAGGAGCACTCTGGCTGCAGTTCTTCATAAGGTGGAGGGTCCACAAAAAAGAAGACCTCCAACAAGATTGGCACAGTGGCAGCAGTAATGGACTCAAGTGTAACAATGGATGGCACAAGACTGGGCAGTTTCATTGTCTTATGTACAGGGTGGCTACGTGTCAGAAATGACTCCATGGCACCTAACAACAACACCACCACCTGGAGCAGAAAAGTCATGGAGGGTTCAATGATTATCTGCAAGGCTATTCTAGGGCAAGAAGAGTAGAAAGAGGGTGGAGTCCCTGAGGTAGCCCCTGGAAGGCAGGTTAGGGAGCCATATGTGGGGACTAGATACAGAGAACGGAAGGCCAGATCATCTGACCTCTGAGAAATGTCTGAGTGAGACTTGGATCTTGGAAGTCAGACAGCCTGGGGTGGGCTCGGGTTCCACCTCTTATCCTAGTGGTGCTACCTTGAAATGTCACTTCCCCTTTGAGCCACAGTTTCTTCATTTGCAATATGAACAAATTTGCTACATACCTACAGGACTGTTGTGAGGATTAGAAAAGACATGGGGAACACTTAGCATGATGCCTGGCACACAGCAAGTGCTCAATAAAGGCTCAGGGAACAAAGAACCGGATGGTGGGTTGCAGAGGGGTTCTGCATTCCAGGAACAATTCCAGGCCCAGGAGTGTATCTCTGACATCTCAATAAAGACAGAACTCCCAGGGTCTCTGAGACATAGTGGCTGACTTGGGGCCCTGCTACAGCTTTCACGGTGGGAGAAAGGCCAAGAGGCAGATGTGGAGGCAAGTGGGAGCCCCAACAGAAGACAGTGAATAATTCTCTGGGCCCAGGCAGCCCCTCTGCTAAGCCAGCCGGATGGTTTATCATCCTTAATAACCTTGTTATCCATAAAATTGCCAATCCCTGCACTAATGTATCCTCGCTCCCCAGCCTGGTCCAGGAAGCAGGACAATCTGCTCTCACCCATCACCTCCCTGAGCTCCTGGGTCCCAGGCTCTCCTGCACCCTGCTGCCCCAGCCCTGCTCCACTGGAAACATGAGCAGGTTCCTGCCTTCAGACTTTCACACTGACTATGCCTTCTGCCAACCACACTTCTCCTTGGGATCACCACATGGCTCTTCCCACATCTCTTTCAGTTGAGGCCTCCACTAACCACCCTATTTAAAATGGCCCCCCGCCTCACAGGCTTCTTCTCTGGGCTCTTTCTCCCACAGCATTCATCACCATGGGTTTTCCTTATGCATCTGCTCAGTCTCTCTGGGACCCTTCTTAGAATGGCAGCTCAGTGAAGGTAAGACTCTGTCCATCTTAGTCCTGATTATATCCCAGGGCCTAGAACAGCGCCTGGCACAAAACAGGTACTCCACAAGCCTGTGTTAAGTGAATGAGCGACCAAGATGGATTCTGTCCACTTTACAGCCTTTCCTCCTCTGCGTATCTATGACCCACATAGTTGTTGTTAAGTGCCATCAAATTGGTTCTGACTCATAGCGACCCAGTATAGGGTCTCCAAGGAGTGGCTGGTGGATTTGAACCACCAACCTTGTAGTTCAAACCAACCTTGCGCTTCAGTGCTTTATCCCACAGCGCCACACCAGGACTCCAGCCCACACAGTAGCCACTGCTCATTTGAACACACTGTTCTCTCTTCTGCTTAAGGACCATCCATGACTTCCACTGGCCCAGGAAGAGTGCTCAAGTTCCACAGTCTGCCCACCTCTTCACACTGACTGTACCCAAGTCTTCACAGCTATTCCCTTTGCCCAAAGCTGTTTCCTCTCTTAGCAAACTCCTACTCATCCTTAAAGACCTCACTCTGAGAGCCCTCCGCAACCGCTCTCAAAGCAAAATAATTATTTTCTTCTCCAGGCACCAATTGTACCTTGTACAATACTCCTTCTCCTCACTGGTGTGCTGACATCATCTACCCGCTACTTCTCCTCCTAGTCTAAGTCCTCCGGCTGTCAGTTAGTTACTTGGGGCCCAACCTCCCAGTGCACAGTGAAACCTGGATGAACAGAGATGATGGGGAGAGGGCATCCTTACAGAGGGAAAGAAAGAAATGACTGAAGACTTAGCAAAACAAGCTCAGGCCATGTGGCCTTGGGTAAGTCACTTCATGTCTTTGCAGGGTTGAGGAGGCAAGCCACCTGCAGCCCAGGGTAGGGCAGGGTCCTGGGCTCTCCTGCTACATGCATCTGACTTTCATTAAGCCCTCTGCTTTCAGCCCCCGTGTGGCAGTCTGCTGGAAGGCGATGGGGTACAGAGAACAAGCCTGAGCATGTCTGGCACACAGCATCTTGAGCAGCTCCTATAGGCCTGATTCCATGAATTAACCAAACTCAAGCCCTGGGACAGCACTCCTGACCACACCAGAGCAACGTGGCTTCACTGATTTATATATCTGAGGTCATCACCCTAATCAAGTCTCCACTCTAGCTTCTCGATGGAAACAAAGGAAGGGCTACCTGCCAACAAGGAGCCCTGGTGGGGTAATGGGTTACTCATTGAGCTGATAACGGCAAGGTCAGTAGTTCAAATCCACCAACCACACGGTGGGAGAAGGATGAAGCTTTCTGCTCCCACAAAGATTTACAGTCTTGGAAACCCTAAACAGGGTAGCTATGACTTCGAAACGAACTTGATGGAACCAACTCAGTGGTATACCACCACCACCTGCCAATTGATCGCACAGCCCCACCTGGGAGCCTTGCTGGGGAATGGGGGCTCAGGGCAAGGGATGGAGAAATCTCCCCAGGGAAAGGTACCTAGAACAAAGTGAAAAGAGGATATCACGTATGCCCAGTGGCCAGTGCCTAGCTTGAGGTCCAGAAGCCCTGGGGGAAGCTACTGGGTCTCCACAGGCTAAAATGACCCCTATGCTCTCCTCAGAAAAAGAGCGCAGGATAGAGAGTCAGGCCAACCCAGAGATGCTGCCAAGTCCCCATTATCGCATTCTGGGAAGTTTATCTCTACTTCCCAGGACTCCACAACCCTACTCCTAAGCTCAGTCTGGTTTCCTCCCACGAGTTAGACCCCAGGGCTGCGGTGTCGGGGGTGAGGAGGGAAGCTTTAAACACAAGTCCAGGATCAGATTCACACTCAACAGAGACAGTCCTACTAGGCGGCAAGTCTATCCTCATCGTGTCCTCTGCCCTGACTTCTTACATACAGACCCCTACCCTACACACACACACACACACATACACACACACATCAGCACACAGCTATACATACCCTGATGCATACACATGCATCCACACACTGGTGCACACACACATAACCTGATGCACACACACGCGCATCCACACTCACACTCATGCACACATGTACACATGCATCCACACACTGATACACACACTCACACATAACCTGATGCACACACATGCATCCATGCACTGATGTACACTCACACTCATGCACACATGTACACACTCATCCATGCAATAATATACACTCACACTTATGCACACATGTACACATGCATCCACACACTGATGCACACACTCACACATACCCTGATGCACACACACACACACATCCATGCACTGATGCGCACTCACACTCATGCACATATGTACACACACATCCACACACTGATGCACATTCACACTCATGCACACATGTACACACTCATGCATGCACTGATGCACATTCACACTCATGCACACATGTACACACGCATCTGTGCACGGATGCACACACTCACACATTCCCAGATGCACACACACGCATCTGTGCACGGATGCACACTCACACTCATGCACACATGTACACACTCATCCATGCACTGGTGTACACTCACACTCATCCACACTGATGAACACACTTAACCACACTGGGTCACACCTTGTTACACACACATACACTCAAGTGCACACACACACCTCACACGTACACTGCCAGACCAGCTGTACCCAGGCAGCCCAGTACCCCTCAAATGGGAGAGAAAAGGCCTTTAAGGACATGTCACATGAGGGAGTAACAACAGAAAAGTATACCGAAAAGGAAGCGGACAGAGAAACACAGCACCAATATGGGATAAGAACAGATGAGAACAAGACCTAGAAACGGACACAGAGCTGGGGAGAGACTCACACACACACAGAACCAGACAGAGAGATAGAAAGTCTGGAGAAAGATGATGAGATACTGAGTTAGAGAGACTCAGACAATGAGACGGGATGGTAGCAAGACAAAGATCCAGAGCAGGATGTAGAAGGCAGAACATGAGGGTGGGGCATAGAGAAGCTAGATCTCCACACAGAACCAAAGAGAAAGACAGCAGAGAAACCGAAAACGCACAAGAGGCTGAGAGACAGGGCAGAGGCAAGGTACTGCAGGAAGTGGCCCGGACCAGGAGCCCAGGAAGCCCCTCAGTGCTCTCAGCCCTGCTCCGCCGCAACCCCCCAGAGCACAGCCCATGAGCCAGGTACCTTTGGGCCGTCTTCTCACCACACCCAGCCGCCACTTGAGTGACACAGCCAGCATGTGGCCCTCCTGCCTCAGTGCCCCAGGCCGGGTGCCAGGTCTTGGTCCTGGAGCCTCCCGTGCGCTCTGCAGGACTCCAGAGCTTCAGAGCTAACTGGCAGCAGCTGGGCGCTCCCTGCTCCGCCCTCCCTGGTGCTAAAATAGCTAATCCTCCCTGGAGCAAAGCTAGCAGCGGTGGCATCCCGGTGACAGGTCCTACCTCCGCTGCAGCTGAAGGCTTGGTGAACAATTAGGAGCACAGCTCTAAGCAGCCTGGGTTCTACAGTAGACTCCACACCAAGCTCTCTTCCCAGCAAAGTTCTTACCTGGCCCACCTGGGGCCCTCCCAGGGCCCAGGCCTCTGTGCTGCAGGGTCCTCTGCCTGGCTGCCTTTCTAGCCTGGCTCCACTGAACCCTCAGTTTGGAAATGATTGCAACTGCCTTCTTTAACCAACAATTCCCATTCCCTTGCTACATGCCCTTGCCTACTGCATCTCATGATGCCTTCCACACTTGGACTGTCTGTCTGTCCAAGGACAAGGACAGGGCCCCCAGAGGTCAGCACAGGGCAGGGTATCTGCTGGAGTCATCACGCAAAAGCAATGAGCCACAGGGCTTGCATCTTCCCTCTGGGCTCTGACAATTAACCTCATTTGGTTGTGTGGAGTCACTGTGATTGCATGTGAGTGTTCAGAGCATTCGGCAGTAATTCTGCAAATGTCTCTGGCTCCCAAATCTCACACAACTCTAGGCTCTTCTCTGATCTACTCCTGGATGTCAGCAGCATGATATAAGGAAGGGGAAATGAGGCAGGAGCCAATGACTTGCTGACATTACAGAACATGTACATTTCGGAGGTGGAACGAGAACCCAGAGCTCCTACCCCTCTCTGCCAAGACAGCTGCTGACGTTTCCTCCACCTTTTCAAGCCATTTAGGTCCCTGTGATGGATCAGGCCTGGGGCATTGTCTTAGACTGGGCTCTCTAGAGAAGCAAAACTAGTGAAGTTTACATACACACACACACACACACATAAACACACAGGCATTCTGGTGTGGCACTGTAAGATGAACACTGGACTGCTAACCCCAAGGTTAGCGAGCAGTTCAAACCCGCCAGCCACTCCTTGGCAACCCTATATAGGGTCTCTGGGGTCAGAACCGACTCAATGGCACATAACAACAACAACATACACACATGCGCACACACACTCATAAACACCTATATATGGTGGTGGTAGATGTGTGCAACAGAGTCCATTCTGACTCATAGTGACCCTGTTTAGGGTTCCGAGGCTGTAAATCTTTACAGGAGCAGAAAGCCTCTTCTTTCTCCCACAGAGTAACTGGTAGATCCGAACTACTGACTTTGTGGTCTGGGGTCCAACTCATAATCCACTATGCTACCAGAGTTCCTTGTACACACATACAAGTTATTGTTTTGTTGTTAAGTGCCATCAAGTTCGTTTCCAAGTCATAGCTACCCTGTATAGGGTTTCCAAGGAGCAGTTGCTAGATTTGAACTGCCAGCCTTTGTGGTACAATGCTTATCCTATAGCACCACACCATGGAAACACACACACATGCACACATAATCACACACATAAGAGTGAGTAAAAAATTATCCACACTCTGGATGTAGAATTTATTTTAATCAACTTTTAGAAAAGCTAAACACATACTTTTTCAACGTAATCTCCTTGATTTTTAATACACTTTGTCCATCTGTGAACAAACTTTCATATTCCCTTATTTTAAAATGTTTTAGGCTGAGCTTCAAGCCACAAACGCACTTCTGCATCACAGGTGAATCTTTGTCCTCGAAGGGCTGCTTTCAGGGACCAAAGAAGTAAAAGTCCAGTGGAGCAAGATCAGGACTACAGGGAGGGTGCAGCGTATGGGCAGAGGTGTGTGGACATGCATTATCATGCAAGATCACAATGCCCTTGGATACCAGTCCTGTGTTTAATCTGAAGTTTAGGCTTCAGCTCTTCAGTGAGCATCTCACTGTAAAAAGCACTGTTGATTGTTGAACCTCTATACTGATAGTGTTCCAATACTGGCCATTGAGAATCCCAGAAAATGGTGATCATCAATCTTCCAGCTGATGGTTGGCTTTTAAACTTTTTCTTGTTGGGTGATTGAGAATGTTTCCATTCCATAATCTGTTGTTTACTCTCAGGTTTGTAGTGATGAATCCATCTCTCGTCCCCAGTAATGATGTTTTAAAGAAATGTTTTCCTTCCTTCGAGTATTGGTTCAAATTTTGTTTGCAGTTGTCTAAACGCTTCTGTTTGTGGTCTTCTGTGAGTTGTTTCAGTACGTATCTCACACAAACTTTCTGAAACCCAAGCCTGTTGTGAATTATCTCCTAGGCAAAGCTAAGGCTGATTTGCAAATCATTTGCCATATAATCTACTGTCATTCATCTATTTACATGCATGCTCAATGTTGTCACCAGCCATGGATATGGATGGGCATTTTAATATAACCAGAGCGCAGAGAATTTTTTAGTCACCTCCATGTGTGTATGTGTGTATATATATATGTACATAATATATATATAGTTAAGTGCTGTCAAGTCAGTTCTGACTCATTGCAACCCTGTATAGGGTTTCCAAGGAGCAGTTAGTGTGTTTGAACCACCAATCTTGTGGTTAACAGTCCAGTGCTATCCTACAGCATGGGTCAGACATCAAGCTGAAGGTTTCTTCTGACTCACAAAGCTGCAGAAGCACAAGAATCCAAGGCCAGCAGGTCAGACAATAGGTGAATAAGGCGAATGAATTTGGCTGCAGAGGTGAATGGACTCAAGGTTGGCAAGTAAGATGGCAGTCTCCTGATGACTCCCTGGATTGGCAGGTAATGCAGCCAGCCACTGGCTCTAATTCAAAGAACCAGAAGTCAAACGACAAGTCAGATTCAGAATCCATACCCAGCAAGAGTAAAGCAAGCTTTGTCTGGGTGTTCAATAGATTGGAAATAGGTCACACCCCTAAGGAAACTCCCTTTCAAATGATTAGCTACTCACAGCAGACCTCGTCATTAGAAATCACTATGGCATAACTGCCATACCACTAAGAATTCTGGTCCAGTCAAGTTGACACAAAACCTTATCTATCACAGTTCACCCCTTGTCAACTTGGCACTTGTACATATCTCCTGAAACCAATTATAAAGTCATACTTGCACCTAACATAATACAACTCACACATGTACAACTGAAGACATACTAACTCCATTTGCAGCTTACATTTTGTAAAAATTTTGATGCACACATACAAAAAAAATACTCATAACTACTGCAGTCCTCATTTCTGCAACTGGTCACATGGTCATAGCTGGTTTTTAGAACTACCTTCTTACACAACCCTGTCTTAACAAACCACATCCTTTTACCCTTGGCAAACACCTAGGCTAATCATGGCTCTTTGTCCAAACCTTAATTCGTGAAGGCTCTGGACCATTACAGTAATGTTAGAATAGGGCTGTTGTAGTTTACCATTGACTTTCATCACAGAACATGGTAGTACTAAAAGCCATCGTAAGGAATCTCCTGGACAGCACACATATTCTTCTTTACCTCCATTATATAATGTCAATCTGATTCTCCCTTTGTAATCAAGATCAATCATACCACCTTAGTTACCTAATGCTTTTATAACATAAACACCACAAGTGATTGGCTTTAACAAACAAATTTATTCTTTCTAGAAGTCTCTAGAGAGCCCTGGTAGCATTGTGGATTCTGAGCTGCGCTGCAAGGTTAGCAATTCAAATCTACCAGTCACTGAGCAGGAGAAAGATGAGGCTTTTTGTTCCTAAAGCGATTTACAGCCTCGGAAACCCTATATAGGGTTGCTATGAGTCAGAACCAACTCTACCACTACCAGGAGTCTCTAGAAATCCAAATTCAGAGGTCCCCAGGGCCAGCTCTAGGGAAAGGCCCTGGTCTCCTTCCACCATCTGTAGGTCCAATATCCTCTAGAGACCATTGCATCTCCTTTTACGTCTCAAAATAGACTGACTCAAGAAACAAACTAATCCTGTAGATTGCCGCTGGCCTCATTAACACCACAGAGGTGAGGATTAACAACACACAGAATAATTACATCAAATCACATCACGGTTGCTTGCATTATATTACATCTCCTCATGGAAGTGATAACTACATCTTTACTGCTAAGCCACTGAGGATACTGGCCCAGTCAAGCTGACACAAAACTTTAATTATCATACCACCCACTACATTAATGTCCTTCTTTGCCTGTTGATCCAGATACATAAGGAACCCAAAATGGCCAGGGGGCATCTGTAACTTCCAGTTCAGTAGAATCACTGCTGTGTCTCCAGGTGAGAGTATTCCTCACTTTGGAATTAAAATGTTCGGCCCCAAAGAGCACAGGGTTCCAGGGTCAGAGGGCAGAAATTTTGTGAGTGGGTGACTAGAAGTAATAGTAAGTGGCATCTCTCCCATTTCTGCCCCCTGGACCTGTGAATCCTGACTATTGTAGAAAGAGTACCATATAGCAGACACTGGTTTAGAGCATGTACAGCTCCCCTGGAGAACATCGCCCCAACCCTGCAAGGTTTTACCACCTAGACAGAGCTATAATGTCCTCAGGAGGCCATTCTACAATTCAATCACAACAGCTGTTCCAGGATGATGAGGTATATGGTAAGTCCAGTGAATTCCATGAGCATGGGCCCACTGCCACACTTCATGTGCTGTGAAGGGAGTCCCTTGATCCGAGGTGATACTGTGCGGGGCACCATTATGGTAGGTAAGGCATTATATAAGTTCAACATGGTAGTTTTAGCAGCAGCATTGTGTGCTGGGAAGGCAAATCCATATCCAGGGTATCTTTTCTAACAAGAACAAAACACTGCCCTTCTCATGATAGAAGTGACCCGATGTAGTCAACCTGTTAACAGGTTGCTGGTTCATCTCCACAAGGAATGACCCCAGATCAAGTTGGTTTCTGCTGCTGGTAGATTGGGCACTCAGCAGTGACTGTAGCA